GCATTCTTTCATCTTCTGCTTTCTTTCTTTTTTTTTTTTTTTTTTTTTTTGCTTTCTTTTTTTTACTTTCCTTTTTTAAACAAAACTAGAAAGATAGAAATCCATGCAATTTGAAAGCCTTGCATGGAATTCTCTATTTTATGTTATAATCCATGTATTTTTATTTTTGCAAAACCTTTAGAGCTACAGTCTTTGTTGTATAATTGAAAACTTTGCAAACTCTAATACTCATGTGTTCATTTAAAATTGGCTTATTCAATGTTGGGCCATTCAAAGTTAGACTTGACACCATACCCTACAACATGGGGTTGTCTAACTAACTTAATAATAAATGTAGCAACAACAACATACTCTATATATAACTCACTGATTATCTTGGTTGCCATTGAACATCTTTTTGAATCTTGCCACCTTCAATGTTATAACCATAAGTATCCAATGTTGGACATCATCCAGCCTTTGAAAATAAGCATATCTCCAACTTCTCACAAAAATCAAAGTTCCCACGACTCCCCAAAAACCAATTGCAAAGCCTAACATCACCACAATGTAAAACCACATTCTTTCAAGTGCAATTTCATCATTGTCCTTGAAGTTGGTGATTGTCGGAGGCAGTGCATCATTTGAGCAATTCTTCAGGAGTGGAGCTCCACAGAGTTGAGGATTGCCTGCATATATGGTTGGATCTTCAAGTGTTTGGAGCTGATAACCTGTTGGAATTAGCCCTGACAAGTTGTTGTTGGACAAGTTGAGGTGGCTTAACTTAGTTAAATTTGACAAACTGTTCGGGATTTTTCCTGAGAGGCCATTCTTGGAGAAATCAAGAGATTCCAAATTCTCCATTTGTCCAATTTTCTCAGGGATCTTTCCTGAAAGATGATTCCAAGACAGATTCAAATTGTGCAAATCCTTAAGAAAAATTAGCTCCTCTGGTATGAATCCTGTTAGATTGTTACTTGAAAGATCTATACTAATCTCAAATCTCAGAGTTTGTTTTGTATACTCAAGGTATCTTCCTTTCACAACCTCCATCAAAGTGACCTCATCCCAATATGCATAATCCATGTCATGGATCAATTGTGTTGCATTCACCATAATCGGAAACTTTCCAAAACAAGGAGGAATTCTTCCTATCAGATTGTTATCTGCAAGATCTAGAATTTGCAATTGAGAGAGAGAGCATAGTTCCAAAGGAATATAACCGGAAATCAAATTTTTTCGTAGTCGAAGAATCTTTAAAGAGTGGTTGCTAATCTCACCCGCTATAATGCTTGTTAAATTTCCAGAAAATTTATTTTCACCCAAATCCAAAATCACTAATGAAGTGAAGTTTTTCAAGGCCACATGCTGTCCCCTATGAAGACTGTTGTTGTTTAAGTGCAGTATAATTAAAGAAGAAAGTTGTGCCATTGTGCTCGGAAATAAACCCGAGAGATTGTTAGAAGATAGATCAATATAATAGAATGATTGATCATTTCTCCAACAATTAGGAATACTTCCGGATAACTTATTGTTTGAGAGATCAAGAAATCCCAAAGATTTTGAATTGCACAATGACTTTGGAATATTTCCAGAGAACATATTATTTGAAAGATCAAGGTAACTCAAATATTTTAAATTGGATAGTGACTTTGGAACTGAACCATTCATGAGGTTATTTGCAAGGTATAATCCCTCCAACATTGGCATCATAAGACTTATGTTTTCTGGAAGAGGACCTGAGATGCTAGCATTAGAGAGATCAACCGTGATTTTTATCTTTTGCAATTGAAGCCATTCAGGAAATCCTGTTCCAAATTGATTGCCAGAAAGATCCATTATCACTAACTTAGGAAGTTGCCCGATGCTAGCTGGAATACTTCCACTCAATTGATTGTAAGAAAGAAATATTCCCTCTAACTTAGGAAGTTGTCCAATGCTAGCTGGAATACTTCCACTCAATTGATTGATAGAAAGATATATTCCCTCTAACTTAAAAAGTTGCCCGATGCTAGTTGGAATACTTCCACTCAATTGATTGCCAAAAAGATATATGTTCTTTAACTTAGAAAGTTGCCCTATACTATCTGGAATACTCCCATTCAATTTATTTCTAGCAAAATCTATACTCGCTAACTTAGAAAGTTGTCTAATGCTAGCTGGAATACTCCCACTCAATTTATTGCCATAAAGATCTATGCCCACTAACTTAGAAAGTTGCCCGATACTAGCTGGAATACTCCCACTCAATTGATTGCCATAAAGATACATGCCTTCTAACTTAGAAAGTTGCCCGATGCTATCTGGAATACTCCCACTCAATTGATTGTTAAAAAGATCTATGCTCTCTAACTTAAAAAGTTGCCCGATGCTAATTGAAATACTCCCACTCAATTGATTGTTAGAAAGATCTATGCTCTCTAACTTAGAAAGTTGCCCGATGCTATTTGGAATACTCTCACTCAATTGATTGTTAGAAAGATCAATGCTCTTTAACTTAGAAAGTTGGCTGATGTTATCTGGAATATTCTCACTTAATTGATTTCTAGAAAGATAAAGAAATATCAAGGAAGTCATGTTTTGGAAAAACATAGGTATCGGACCTTGAAAAAAGTTAGCTGAAAGATCTAAGTGCTGAATATTGCTAAGCCATGTAAAATTAAGGGGATGGTTCTGAGATGGCAAGTGACAATTTCTGAGACAACAGCTTGACAGACTTAACTGTGACAGGGAAGGAAGCATGCCAAATACTTGAAACAAGTTTGATGACGTAAGGCTTAGATTTACTCCACTCACATCAAGAAATGTCAATGAAGTCATGTTTTGGAGAAAAATAGGTATTGGACCATGAAAAGAGTTTTGTGAAATATCAAAATGTTGAATATTTCCAAACAATGTAAAATTAAGGAGATGGTTGTGATATGGAAGGTGAGAATTTTTTAGACTACAGTCTGACAAACTCAACCAAGATAATGAAGAAAGCATGCCAAGTACCTGCAACAAGTTTGATGAGGCTTGGCTTAGATTTACTCCACTCATATCAAGTCGTTGCAAAGAGGAGAGACGAGAAATCCATTGAATGTCATCCCCAACCTTCAATCTCCCATAATAATTTTGAGAAAGATCAAGAACATGAAGCCCTGTAAGATTTCCAAGTTCACTAGGAATTCTCCCTCTGAATTGCGCATAAGAGAGATTTAGGTATCTCAATTGCTCCATCAAGCCAAAGGAAGGTGAAATAAGATCACCACTGAAATTATTGTTGCTCAAGTCCAGGTGTTCCAAGTATCTCAGCTTGAGCAAACTTGAAACAACCTCCTCTACATGGTCAATCAAGTACAATTGAGGTTGTTGATCGCCAATAAAGTACGAATAAAGTCGATCAGATACTGATCCCCTCAATTGAAGTGAGACAACATATTCGTTATTTTTGTCACAGCCTACTCCTCTCCATTCACAACAGTCATTGCCTTTCCAAGAAGACAACATATGAGATGGATCATGGAAACATAGTTTGAACTTCAAGAGGGCTTCTCTCTCCCCTTCTATACAGCTAAAGCTCGTGTTCCGACCGAAACAAAGCTCTGCAGCTGCGAAGAACAATACAACAACTAGAACAAGCATAGCACGGAAAGTTTCCCTCATAATGATGGTTTCAATATTGTATGGAAGATGGATGTGATATTTAATTTTGCTTGTACATTAATATATAGTCCCCTGGATAGGCAAATAAAACAGCTTTCCCCGAAGTTACATTAAAGATAAAGATTCCGAGTAAGTAATTTAAAGTAGCCTACTTTTGTATTTCGATCATGATCACTCGAGCGCATTCGCCAAGACTTGGATGTCTTTTTTGCTCCTTGTTGCTTTAAAGTCAATTTCATTGGCGCTTTCATTGTCCTTTTGCCCACCATAATAATAATATAGCTTTTACACGTCTTGTGCTACTGTTGTGCAACGTGAAGACTGGAAAAGTTTGAAAAATGGTTTTCAATTCTTGGAGATAACTATGGTTCGTGAAAATTTCTTCTCTTTTTAACAATCATGGAAAATTTTTGATCATCCTGATTATTGTTTAAATATTGTGTGGAAGATTAGATATTTAGATGATTTTAATTTTTTTTCTTTGATAACGGATGATTTTATTTTTATTTCTTTTGATGAACGGATGATTTTTAATTTTGGTTGCACATTAATATTATAATGGCAAAGCTTAGGTTCTTGAACTTACCCTATTCTTCGACACTAAACTATCTTTTTAGACTTATAAGCCCTTAACTCTGCTATTTTTGCAGAAGGAAACCCTTTGTTAACGGTTCCGCTAGTTTCCGTAAAAAAATCTAATCACAGCTAGGGGTGTTCATATCCGATCCAATCCAATTAAAAACCAAATCAAACCGATATAAAATTGGGTTGGTTTAGATTATAAAAATTTAAAACCGATATAATTGGTTTAGTTTGTGATTTTACTTTCAAACTGTCCGAACCGCCCGATTATAAAATAAAATCCGATTATA